GGGGGAAAGTATTGAGGGAGAGGGCCTGAGCCTAAAATGGCAGAAAGCTGAGGTAAGGAGTAAGATTGAGGAGGCAGGAAGGCCTGAAGAGAGGGGCTCGGGCTGAGGAGGCAGGAATCACTGAGGTGGGGGGCTCAGGAGATGGGCAGTGCTAATGTGGGGGTTCACGCTGAGGGGATGTGAAGTGCTGAGTGGAGGGTTAGGCTGAGCTGGGGGAAAGAGCTAAGGTGCGGAGCTCAGGCTGAGGCAGGGGGAAGCACAAGGGGCTCAGGCTGAGCTGGGGAGAAGCAATGAGAGGAGGGGCTCAGGCTGACGTGGTGAGAAGAGGTGGGAGGGGTCAGACTCAGATGGTGAAAAGAGCTGAGGAGGCAAGAAGTGCTCTGGTGAAGCAGCTCAAACTGGGAAGAGGGGAACACTGAGGTGAGGGAGTTTAGGCTGAGGTGAGTGGAAGTGCCGAGGTGGGGGCAGGCAGGATGAAGACGGGGAAGCGCTGAGGGAAGGGACTCATGCTGAGGTGGGATTTGCTGAGAGAAGGGGGTTCTTGCCGACTCAAGAGTAAGGGGCTCAGGCTGAGGTATTGAGAAACGCTGCTGGAGGGGCCTCGGGTTGAGATGGCAGGAAGCGCTGAGGGGGGGGAAGCACTGAAGCGGAAGGGTTCAGGCTTAGGAGGTGGGAAACACTTAGGAAGGAATCAGTTTGAGGAGGCGGGAAGTGCTGAAGTGGGAGGGACAGGCTGAGGTGCCAGGAAGAACTGATAGGGGAGGGAGGCAGGCTGTTTTGGCGGGAAGCACTGAGGTGAGGCTGCTCAGGCTGAGACAGAAAGTGCTTGTGGTGAGCTCAGGTTCAGGTGGGATGAGCTGAGATGAGCAGTGAGAAATGGGGGCTCTTGCTGAGTCAAGAGGAAGGGGCTCAGGCTGAGGTTGTGGAAGCACTGAGGTGGGGGGCTCAGGATGAGATCGGGGGAAGTGTTGAAGTAGGGGAAACTCAAGATTATGATGGGGAAGTGCTGGGATGGGGGGCTTCAAGATGAGGGGTGGGAAGCACCTAGGTTGCAGCTTCAGGCTGAGGTGGTGGAAAGTGCTGAGGTGAGGGGGCAGGAAGTTCTGAGGCAGCAGGAGCCACTGAGGCAAAGTGAGCTCAGGCGGAGGTGGGGGAAAGCATTGAGGGAGAGGGCCTGAGCCTAAAATGGCAGAAAGCTGAGGTAAGGAGTAAGATTGAGGAGGCAGGAAGGCCTGAAGAGAGGGGCTCGGGCTGAGGAGGCAGGAATCACTGAGGTGGGGGGCTCAGGAGATGGGCAGTGCTAATGTGGGGGGCTCACACTGAGGGGATATGAAGTGCTGAGGTGGAGGGTTAGGCTGAGCTGGGGGAAAAGGTTGAAGTGGGGAGAAGCGCTGAAGCGGAAGGGCTCAGGCTTAGGAGGTGGGAAATACTTAGGCAGGAGTCAGTTTGAGAAGGCGGGAAGTGCTGAAGTGGGAGGGACAGGCTGAGGTGCCAGGAAGAGCTGAGGTGGGAGGGAGGCAGGCTGTTTTGGCGGGAAGCACTGAGGCAAGGCTGCTCAGGCTGAGACAGAAAGTGCTTGTGGTGAGCTCAGGTTGAGGTGGGATGTGCTGAGATGAGCAGTGAGAGATGGGGGCTCTTGTGAGCGAAGGGTAACGGGCTCAGGCTGAGGTAGAAGCACTGAGGTGGGGAGGCTCAGATTGAGATGAGGAAGTATTGATGCAGGGGGTACTCAGGATTTTGAGAGGGAAGTGCTGATGTTGGGGTCTTCAGGATGAGGAGGTAATAAGTGCTGAGGTTAAGGGCTCAGGCTGAGGGGGTGGAAAGTGCTGATATGGGGGGTCAGGCTGTTTTCGTGGGAAGCACTGAGGTAACAAGAAGCACAGAGGTATGGTGAACCCAGGTGGAGACGGGAGGAAGTGCTAAGGGAAAGGGACTGAGTCTGAGATGAAAGGAAATCTGAGGTAAGGGGTATTTCTGAAGTGGTAGGAAGGGATGAGGAGAGGGGGTCAGGCAGAGGGTGCAGGAAGCACTGAGGTGAGGGACTCAAGCTCTGGGGTGGTGTGAAGGCTCGGGCAGGAAATCGGGAAGCTTAGACAAAGGTGGAGCGGTCAGTGGTGGGAGATTACAAAGGGAGGCAAGCAGATTCAGGGTCAGGCGGGAAGTGCTGAGGAGCTTAGCCTGAGGTGGGAATTGCTGAGGCAGGGGAGCTCAGGCCAAGGTGGGGGAAGAGCTGAAGAGAGGGGCTCAGGCTGAGGGGCAGGAAGCACTGAAGTGGAGGGCTCAAATTCAAGAGGTGGGAAGTGCTAGTGTGGGGATTGGAAGTGCTGAGGTAGGGGGTCTGTCTGAGCTGGGAGAATATGTGAGGTGGGGAGCTCAAGCTGAGGAAGAGGGAAGCACTGAAGGAAGGGGCTCAGGCTGACCTGGGGAGAAGCAATGAGACGAGGGGCTCACGGTGAGGCGGGGAAAAGTGTTGAGGCGGGAGACACTTAGGATGAGGATGGGAAAGTTCTGAGGTGCAGAAGGGTCGATTTGAAGAGGTGGGAAGTGCTGAGTTGAGGCACTCAGGCTGAGGTGGCAGGAAGAGCAAAGAGGGGTAAGACTCAGATTGTGGAAAGAGCTGAGGAGGCAGGAAGCACTGAGGTGAGGTGGCTCAGGCTGAGGAGGGGGAAACACTGAGGTGAGGGAGTTCAGGCTGAGATGGATGGAAGTGCTGAGGTGAGGGCACGCAGGATGAAGACAAAAGCGGTGAGGCAAAGGTCTCCAGTTGAGATGGGGGAATTGCTGAGGCAGGGGGCACTCAGGATTACAATGGGGAAGTGCTGAGGTGGGGGGCCTCCGGGTGAAGAAGTGGGAAGAATTGAGATGGGAGTCAGTTTGAGGTGGCTGGAATTGCTGAGGGAAGGGTCTAAGGCTGAGGTGGTTGAAAGAGGTGAGGCAAGAGGCTCAGGCTGAGGTGGAGGGAAGTGTTATGGTAGGGGGGTAGGAAGCCCTGAGGTGGCAGGGAGCACTGAGGCAAGGTAAATTCAGGCTGAATTGAGGGGAGCACTGAGGCAGGATGCTAAACTGAAGTGGCAGGAAACTAAGGCAGGAGCTCAGGCTAAGGAGGTAGAAAATTCTGAGGCAAGGGACTCAGGCTCAAGTGGCAGGAAGTGTTGATGGGGGAGGGGCTCAGTTAGAGGAGGTAGGAAGTGTTAAGGTGGGGGCCCCCAGGGGCTGAGGCTGAGTGATGAGATGGGGACCAGGCGAAGTAGAAAATTCTGAAGTGGGGAAGGGAGGGATTAAGAAGGGAAGGGCTAAAGTGGGATCAGAGGCTGAAGTGGAAAGCAGCTGAGGAGTGAGGACTGTGAGAGAAAATACTCACATGGGAGAGGAATAAAGAATGAGGAAAATATAGAAAATACTGAAGGAGAGGAGATAGGGATCAAAAAGATAACCATGAACTGTCTATTCAATTTGTATTAAGAATTTGGAGGAGCACAGTAAAATAGCTGTCAAGGAAAGATTAGAGGTTTTCTCTTCGAAGTATAATTTTATTATAAAGTTTTGTTAGAAAGCAGAATCCCTGTAAAAATATAAGGATCCAATAGAAATTTTTTGCATCTGGAATTACAGGGGCCTCTCTTGCTCATACTATGTTTTCACTGCGGATGTGGAATGGACTAAGCTCTGTCAAAAAGTTGTCTTAACTTCTTCCTTTTTCTCTTTGCAGTACCTACAAAGAAGACAGCAGAAAACCTCTAAGAACCAGCAAGCAAATAGTAAGAAAGAAAGCAAGTCCCTTAAGGCAGAGGAGAAGGAAAGGAACTGTGGACAGAGTGAGCACCCCATAATTAAGGCTCAAGTTAAAGTGGATATTGAGCATTTTAACATCTTGAGCAGTGTGACCCCCCTATAACTGGGGTTCAGGTCTGTGCTCTCTTGGCAGCTTTCCATAATGCTCCTTTAATTGGCTACTGAGAGTGACTCCCCTGTAATTAGGGCACAAGTAATGTTCCTATGATTTAGGGTAAAGTCTCTTGGCCCTTCTCACTGGGTACGAAGTTGGGATATATATATATATATATATATGTATTACCATATCAAAAAAGGGAATTACTTCTTAAGTGTAGTACCAGTGTTTTCGAGGCCAATTCAGTCAGAGCGGATGTGGCTCACGCTAAGCAGTTATGCGGAGATAAGAATACTAAGACACGGAAAATGGCCTTATTCAGACCTAATTTAATCATGTTAAATTTGCAAATGAATTTCAACTCATCTGTTTGTCTCTGAGGTCTGGATTTGAAGATTGGTTTTTTTGTAAAAGAATTACTACTTTTAAATCACTTACCATGTGTCCAGGTTAGTTAAGTGTTCTCAAAGTGGTTTTTCTATGTTACATATTTTGTATCTGATTTGTGTCCATTTAGCCTCTGACACACAGACTGTCCAGTTAGGACAGTACGCATGGCAGAGGGGCATTGCTGACACATGATGGCGTATTTCATGTAGTAGATAAACAGGTGGTTGAGCCCCTGATGGTGTGGTTGATTTGATTAGGCCTGTGATGGAGTTTCTTGTATAGATATGAGGACAGAGTTGGCAATCAGGTGTGTTGCAGAGATAGCTTCCTGGGTTAGCGTTTCAATCGTGTGCTGTGAGGCTAGGAGTAAGTATTTAACATGATCAAATAAGATGTGAATAAGGACTTAGAACAGTTAACCTGCAAAAAGGTAATTTTCCCTCTCTTTTTACTAATACCTACCCATCCTGCACAGAGAATGGGCCACATCCACCTGGACTTAAGTGTCCTTCTTGACATAGGTCCTACTCTTCCTAAGTAACTACCTTCTTTTCAACTGCAGGTACGAAAATATATCCTAAACTTGAGGATTTCAAATCCATCAGTATCATGCAGTGATTTTCACCCATGAAAGCAAATGCTAAAATAATACCATTAGTATTAATATCCCACAGGAATTCTTCTATTTGTAGAAACTGAATAATATACATACCCATTTCTACCCAGTGAGACCTATACTGCTGTAATGAGGGGAAAGTGAGCTCTTTGGAACCCAGACCAGTCAGACCTCCCTGTAACAAGGGCTCAGGTCTATCTTAGCGTGACAAGCCCGTGAATACGGTGCACGTCACGAGCATGCCAAACCCCTTTTTCTTGGGGCATACTGAGGCTTTGGCTGCCTGGACCAGCGAGACCTCCCTGTAACTGAGGACAAGGTCTCTGCCCCTCCTCATTCGGCGTCCATGCGCCTTTAGCTGGTGACTTAAGACTGGCCACCCTGTAACTGAGGACAAGGTCTCTGCCCCTCCTCATTCGGCGTCCATGCGCCTTTAGCTGGTGACTTAAGACTGGCCACCCTGTAACTCAGGGTCTAGGCTGCCTCCCTCCTTGACCTACGGAGGCGGACCCAGGGGCCTTTTTGGTAACGTGGGCAGCGTGGTCTCCCTGTAACCAGGGTTCGAGCCCCTGCCCGTTAGTCGCTTGACATTCCGCTGCCGTAGCCCGCTGGTCCGGACGAGGGCCCTGTAAGCAGGGCACAAGCCTCATCAGTCACTATTCCTCGTGCCCCCGCCCCTCACAACTCTACCCGAGCAACTCTGTCCAGAGTCCCGGCCCCTCGCACCGCCTTGCCGGCTCATCTGGAATTCCGCAGCGTCTACCCCGCTTCCCTGCCGGGGACAAGACATCGTGCAGCAGCTGCTGGTAAGTTCCCAAAGAGAGGTTCCCTTGCTTGTTTGAAAGACGACGGATCAGAACCCGGTACCGCTGTCGGGCACACAAAGTCAGTGGTGTCAAGTAATTTCCCACTGCCCTTAATCGTCTAACTCTTGATGCCGTTGTGTTAAGAATCGTGACCTGCGGTGTGCACTAAGTGTTGAGGGGCAATGTGGAGATGCTGGCTTAGAAACAGGATTTTGGTGGCAGCATGGTCAGCCGGGGAAGGCTGGGCAGGCGGAGGAAAGCCGCTCCGCCTCGCTCGCTCGGGCTCCGTTTGCGTTGGCGGCGGGGCGGGGCGGGGCGGGGCCTCAGCTCTGTCCTCGGGCCGCCTTTATATCTCCTCTCACTCTCTCCCTCCCTCCGTTTGCAGCACCACCGAGGAAGACGAAGAGGAAGAGGAGGAGGAGAAGAAGGAAGCCTCTAGGAGCCGGCAAGCAAACAGGAGGAAAGGAAGCAAGTCACGGAAGGCAGAGGAGAAGGACAGGGACTGTGGACAGAGTGAGCACCCCACAATTAAAGCTCGGGTCACAGGGGCTACGGAGCTCTTTCACACCTTGAGCAGCGGGACCGCCCTGTAACTGGGGTGCAGGTCCGTGCTCTCTTGGCCGCTTGGCCTCATGCTCCTCTAACCGGCCAGCGAGAAGGACTCCCCTGCAATTAGGGCCCAAGTCACCATCCTGTCGCTTACGGGGGATACTGAGCTCCTTGGAACTCCGAGCAGCGTGACCTCCCTGTAACTCAGGGTCAGGTCTCTGCCCTCTTGCCCTTTCGGCATCATGGCCTGTTGGCAGTCTGGTCAGCTGGACAGCCCTGTAAGGAGGGTTCATGTCTCGAGCCTCCCTCTCTCTCTCCTTTGTGGGGACAGACTGAGCTCTCTGGACTCCTGGGCAGCGTGGCCTACCGGTAATTCGGGATGAGGCCTCTGCCCTTTAGGTCCTTGGCACTAGGCCCCAGGAAGCAGCCGGTCTGAACGGGCCGCCCTCTAATTGAGGTGCAGGTGGAATCCCTCTGGTTGAGACGGGATTAGGACTAACTTTGGTGCCGCTGATCCCGTGGCCTGCCTGTAACTTGGGTTCAGGTCTCTGCTCCCTTGCCCTTTTGGCTTGGTGGGCTGTTGGCAGTCCAGCCCGCGTGACCCTCCCTGTAAGCGGGGTGTGGGTCGCCAGTAGCGAGGGCTTAGAGCCCGTTTTCCACCGTGGCCTGGCTGACCACCCTGTAAGCAGGGTTCCGGTCTCTCCCCTTTTGGCGCTCACAATAATGCTTTCGTATCCGGCTGTAACCAGAGAGCTTCTCCAGCCCCTTGCTTCTGCGGGGGAAGGATCTTTGAACTGTGTGACCTCCCTGTACCGAGGGTTCAGGTCGGCCCTTGCGGCCTCCATACTGTGACGCTCTAGTGACTGCCAAGTGAGAGCGACTGCCCTGTAATGAGGGTGCATGTCGCTTGTCCCTGAGTGCTGAGGCTCATTCAACTTTCTGGTAGCTTGAACTCTTTGACCACCCTGTAAGCGAGGGCTCTGGTCGGCCCTTTTGGCCTCCTGCTATTATGCGCTCGTGGCTGACTAGCGAAAAGGACTCCCCTGTAATGAGGGTGCAAGTCCCGTGGCCGCGGCTCCTGGGGGGACATCGAGCTCTTTGGAACCCTGAGCACTGAGACCTCCCTGTAACGAGGGCTCGGGTCTCTGTTGGCAGTCTAGCCGGCGTGACAGCCCCGTAAGTACGGTGCACACGTCACGAGCTCCCTCCTCCCTGCCTGGCCCCCCCCCCCCCCCACCGCTTTTTCTGTGGGGCACACTGAGTCTTTGGCTGCCTGGGCCAGCGAGACCTCCCTGTAACTGAGGACAAGGTCTCTGCCCCTCCTCATTCGGCGTCCATGCGCCTTTAGCTGGTGACTTAAGACTGGCCACCCTGTAACTCAGGGTCTAGGCTGCCTCCCTCCTTGACCTACGGAGGCGGGCGCAGGGGCCTTTTTGGTAACGTGGGCAGCGTGGTCTCCCTGTAACCAGGGTTCGAGCCCCTGCCCGTTAGTCGCTTGACATTCCGCTGCCGTAGCCCGCTGGTCCGAACGAGGGCCCTGTAAGCAGGGCACAAGCCTCATCAGTCACTATTCCTCGTGCCCCCGCCCCTCACAACTCTACCCGAGCAACTCTGTCCAGAGTCCCGGCCCCTCGCACCGCCTTGCCGGCTCATCTGGAATTCCGCAGCGTCTACCCCGCTTCCCTGCCGGGGACAAGACATCGTGCAGCAGCTGCTGGTAAGTTCCCAAAGAGAGGTTCCCTTGCTTGTTTGAAAGACGACGGATCAGAACCCGGTACCGCTGTCGGGCACACAAAGTCAGTGGTGTCAAGTAATTTCCCACTGCCCTTAATCGTCTAACTCTTGATGCCGTTGTGTTAAGAATCGTGACCTGCGGTGTGCACTAAGTGTTGAGGGGCAATGTGGAGATGCTGGCTTAGAAACAGGATTTTGGTGGCAGCATGGTCAGCCGGGGAAGGCTGGGCAGGCGGAGGAAAGCCGCTCCGCCTCGCTCGCTCGGGCTCCGTTTGCGTTGGGGGCGGGGCGGGGCGGGGCCTCAGCTCTGTCCTCGGGCCGCCTTTATATCTCCTCTCACTCTCTCCCTCCCTCCGTTTGCAGCACCACCGAGGAAGACGAAGAGGAAGAGGAGGAGGAGAAGAAGGAAGCCTCTAGGAGCCGGCAAGCAAACAGGAGGAAAGGAAGCAAGTCACGGAAGGCAGAGGAGAAGGACAGGGACTGTGGACAGAGTGAGCACCCCACAATTAAAGCTCGGGTCACAGGGGCTACGGAGCTCTTTCACACCTTGAGCAGCGGGACCGCCCTGTAACTGGGGTGCAGGTCCGTGCTCTCTTGGCCGCTTGGCCTCATGCTCCTCTAACCGGCCAGCGAGAAGGACTCCCCTGCAATTAGGGCCCAAGTCACCATCCTGTCGCTTACGGGGGATACTGAGCTCCTTGGAACTCCGAGCAGCGTGACCTCCCTGTAACTCAGGGTCAGGTCTCTGCCCTCTTGCCCTTTCGGCATCATGGCCTGTTGGCAGTCTGGTCAGCTGGACAGCCCTGTAAGGAGGGTTCATGTCTCGAGCCTCCCTCTCTCTCTCCTTTGTGGGGACAGACTGAGCTCTCTGGACTCCTGGGCAGCGTGGCCTACCGGTAATTCGGGATGAGGCCTCTGCCCTTTAGGTCCTTGGCACTAGGCCCCAGGAAGCAGCCGGTCTGAACGGGCCGCCCTCTAATTGAGGTGCAGGTGGAATCCCTCTGGTTGAGACGGGATTAGGACTAACTTTGGTGCCGCTGATCCCGTGGCCTGCCTGTAACTTGGGTTCAGGTCTCTGCTCCCTTGCCCTTTTGGCTTGGTGGGCTGTTGGCAGTCCAGCCCGCGTGACCCTCCCTGTAAGCGGGGTGTGGGTCGCCAGTAGCGAGGGCTTAGAGCCCGTTTTCCACCGTGGCCTGGCTGACCACCCTGTAAGCAGGGTTCCGGTCTCTCCCCTTTTGGCGCTCACAATAATGCTTTCGTATCCGGCTGTAACCAGAGAGCTTCTCCAGCCCCTTGCTTCTGCGGGGGAAGGATCTTTGAACTGTGTGACCTCCCTGTACCGAGGGTTCAGGTCGGCCCTTGCGGCCTCCATACTGTGACGCTCTAGTGACTGCCAAGTGAGAGCGACTGCCCTGTAATGAGGGTGCATGTCGCTTGTCCCTGAGTGCTGAGGCTCATTCAACTTTCTGGTAGCTTGAACTCTTTGACCACCCTGTAAGCGAGGGCTCTGGTCGGCCCTTTTGGCCTCCTGCTATTATGCGCTCGTGGCTGACTAGCGAAAAGGACTCCCCTGTAATGAGGGTGCAAGTCCCGTGGCCGCGGCTCCTGGGGGGACATCGAGCTCTTTGGAACCCTGAGCACTGAGACCTCCCTGTAACGAGGGCTCGGGTCTCTGTTGGCAGTCTAGCCGGCGTGACAGCCCCGTAAGTACGGTGCACACGTCACGAGCTCCCTCCTCCCTGCCTGCCCCCCCCCCCCCCCCACCGCTTTTTCTGTGGGGCACACTGAGTCTTTGGCTGCCTGGGCCAGCGAGACCTCCCTGTAACTGAGGACAAGGTCTCTGCCCCTCCTCATTCGGCGTCCATGCGCCTTTAGCTGGTGACTTAAGACTGGCCACCCTGTAACTGAGGGCAAGGTCTCTGCCCCTCCTCATTCGGCGTCCATGCGCCTTTAGCTGGTGACTTAAGACTGGCCACCCTGTAACTGAGGGCAAGGTCTCTGCCCCTCCTCATTCGGCGTCCATGCGCCTTTAGCTGGTGACTTAAGACTGGCCACCCTGTAACTCAGGGTCTAGGCTGCCTCCCTCCTTGACCTACGGAGGCGGGCGCAGGGGCCTTTTTGGTAACGTGGGCAGCGTGGTCTCCCTGTAACCAGGGTTCGAGCCCCTGCCCGTTAGTCGCTTGACATTCCGCTGCCGTAGCCCGCTGGTCCGAACGAGGGCCCTGTAAGCAGGGCACAAGCCTCATCAGTCACTATTCCTCGTGCCCCCGCCCCTCACAACTCTACCCGAGCAACTCTGTCCAGAGTCCCGGCCCCTCGCACCGCCTTGCCGGCTCATCTGGAATTCCGCAGCGTCTACCCCGCTTCCCTGCCGGGGACAAGACATCGTGCAGCAGCTGCTGGTAAGTTCCCAAAGAGAGGTTCCCTTGCTTGTTTGAAAGACGACGGATCAGAACCCGGTACCGCTGTCGGGCACACAAAGTCAGTGGTGTCAAGTAATTTCCCACTGCCCTTAATCGTCTAACTCTTGATGCCGTTGTGTTAAGAATCGTGACCTGCGGTGTGCACTAAGTGTTGAGGGGCAATGTGGAGATGCTGGCTTAGAAACAGGATTTTGGTGGCAGCATGGTCAGCCGGGGAAGGCTGGGCAGGCGGAGGAAAGCCGCTCCGCCTCGCTCGCTCGGGCTCCGTTTGCGTTGGCGGCGGGGCGGGGCGGGGCGGGGCCTCAGCTCTGTCCTCGGGCCGCCTTTATATCTCCTCTCACTCTCTCCCTCCCTCCGTTTGCAGCACCACCGAGGAAGACGAAGAGGAAGAGGAGGAGGAGAAGAAGGAAGCCTCTAGGAGCCGGCAAGCAAACAGGAGGAAAGGAAGCAAGTCACGGAAGGCAGAGGAGAAGGACAGGGACTGTGGACAGAGTGAGCACCCCACAATTAAAGCTCGGGTCACAGGGGCTACGGAGCTCTTTCACACCTTGAGCAGCGGGACCGCCCTGTAACTGGGGTGCAGGTCCGTGCTCTCTTGGCCGCTTGGCCTCATGCTCCTCTAACCGGCCAGCGAGAAGGACTCCCCTGCAATTAGGGCCCAAGTCACCATCCTGTCGCTTACGGGGGATACTGAGCTCCTTGGAACTCCGAGCAGCGTGACCTCCCTGTAACTCAGGGTCAGGTCTCTGCCCTCTTGCCCTTTCGGCATCATGGCCTGTTGGCAGTCTGGTCAGCTGGACAGCCCTCTAAGGAGGGATTGTGTGCTAATTTCTCCATCTTTTAGTCATTTGGCTAGTCCTGTGAGCTGGCATCTTGAGTAGCCTGATTCATTTGTAATCATCTCTTTATAGTGCTGTCAATCACAGAAGGCTTGACCGCTCTGTTCCTGACAGCCCAGTTTGTTCCAAGAGATATCTTCCACAGGAGTTTCTAAATTCTGAAGAAAAATTACTAAAAGTGTAATTATTAGTCTGTATGTGGCACTTCAAGCACACACAGATTTCTTTTTTGCATACGCTTTTTGGGAAAATCCAGTTTATCAAGTCCTTTATCTAACTTGGTTTTTCCCATGAACAGTAATGCCCAAATAAATTTGTTCATGGTTGAAGTACCAGAGCACTCCATTTCTTTTCAAAAAGTGAGATTTGTTTGGTAAATTTAGTATGAGTTACGGTAAATTGTCATTCATATTGTAATATATGTCACTTTGTTTATGCTGCTGTAAGTGTTCTTGTTGAGTTCTGTACTAAAATGTATGAAGTATTTTCTATGTGAGGTGTCATAGCAAAATTCTGGTATCTTGACTTTTAAAAGTATGGCTTTTTTTTTATTACTTTTTATGTTTCTTGTGGTTTTTGTATCAGAGGTGATTGCTTTTGTTCAAGTTTTACATTTCCCAGCTCATACGTATTTCATTTAATTTGAAAATTCTTGACTTGATTAGACTAAATTAGTCTTTATACAATATTTTTGTCATTTGATTTTTAAATTAATTTGGTGCTGCTTTTAATAATTTGTTTCTAGGTTTTGTTTTCAGAATTTCGACCTTCTTTAGAGTTTTGCTAAAGCTCTTGTATACCGTTTCCAGCCGTAGGGACAACTTGAGAAGAAGCAAGCCCCCAATGAATAAGGAAGAACTATTTTTAAGGAGGTATGAAAAGCAAAGGGGAACCACATACTGAAAGCAAATAGCATTTGGAAATCCCTGTAATTATGGAATACTTTATTGTATGATTTATTCAATCATACAATAATCTCTCACAGGAAATAAAAGTTGAACTATTTTTGTTCACTAAAGCAATATTAATTATTCCTTTTGAACTTCATAATAAAGATTGCATTTAATTTTTTTTTTTTTTTTTTGTTCTCTGCAGGTTTATTTCCATCACTATTGCACCAGAAAGCACTGAAAGAATAAATGTAATAGAATGACTACTCTCATCTATTACAAGTTTTTTTAAAAGCAGTAGTATCTCAATCAATTTATTAGTCATCGTAAAAAAGAATTTTTAGTGAACTATGACACCAATGATTCAACAGTTTACTGCTGCTTCCTTTTGGTTTTTTCTCTAACTGCTTTTGTAATGAGAGTACACAGATAATACATTTTATATAAATAGCATGTGTATCCTCCCAAGAAAACAGCATTCAGCCTTTGTAGCATGCTTTGTGGTTCATACGTTCACATTCTGGGAAAATACAAGATGGGGGCTTTTGAGTTTAATGTATGAAAATTAACTGTTATCATTTCTTAATAGCCATTTTGATAGTTATTTAGGAATCTAGGCATTATGTTTAGTAAACAAGTCACTTCGACATTCTTAGTTTGTTGGCTACAACAACTTGTTCCAAGCTCAAGAACTATCCGGAAAGGATGTAAGAAAGCAGCAAGATTTCTTGTGGCCAACCTCAAGAGGTTGAACCACCTACGTTGCCCTTGTGCTACTTATTTATACTACTTCCTTCTCTCAGGACCTTAATAAACTCCTCTTTTAATATTCAGCAGTGCTAGTTATGTGATATAGAATTAAACTAAATTCCTACCTATTTTGAGGAAGCCAATTAAAATAATCAATGGAACTAAAGAATTTCCATTTAAATGTTGATTTCACCTTGATAAGTAGCAACATTTAAAATGCATGTTTTGTCTAGATGACTAGCTGGTTTTAGTTGACTAGCTGGTTTTAGATTAAATAAAATTGTGTGCTAATTTCTCCATCTTTTAGTCATTTGGCTAGTCCTGTGAGCTGGCATCTTGAGTAGCCTGATTCATTTGTAATCATCTCTTTATAGTGCTGTCAATCACAGAAGGCTTGACCGCTCTGTTCCTGACAGCCCAGTTTGTTCCAAGAGATATCTTCCACAGGAGTTTCTAAATTCTGAAGAAAAATTACTAAAAGTGTAATTATTAGTCTGTATGTGGCACTTCAAGCACACACAGATTTCTTTTTTGCATACGCTTTTTGGGAAAATCCAGTTTATCAAGTCCTTTATCTAACTTGGTTTTTCCCATGAACAGTAATGCCCAAATAAATTTGTTCATGGTTGAAGTACCAGAGCACTCCATTTCTTTTCAAAAAGTGAGATTTGTTTGGTAAATTTAGTATGAGTTACGGTAAATTGTCATTCATATTGTAATATATGTCACTTTGTTTATGCTGCTGTAAGTGTTCTTGTTGAGTTCTGTACTAAAATGTATGAAGTATTTTCTATGTGAGGTGTCATAGCAAAATTCTGGTATCTTGACTTTTAAAAGTATGGCTTTTTTTTTATTACTTTTTATGTTTCTTGTGGTTTTTGTATCAGAGGTGATTGCTTTTGTTCAAGTTTTACATTTCCCAGCTCATACGTATTTCATTTAATTTGAAAATTCTTGACTTGATTAGACTAAATTAGTCTTTATACAATATTTTTGTCATTTGATTTTTAAATTAATTTGGTGCTGCTTTTAATAATTTGTTTCTAGGTTTTGTTTTCAGAATTTCGACCTTCTTTAGAGTTTTGCTAAAGCTCTTGTATACCGTTTCCAGCCGTAGGGACAACTTGAGAAGAAGCAAGCCCCCAATGAATAAGGAAGAACTATTTTTAAGGAGGTATGAAAAGCAAAGGGGAACCACATACTGAAAGCAAATAGCATTTGGAAATCCCTGTAATTATGGAATACTTTATTGTATGATTTATTCAATCATACAATAATCTCTCACAGGAAATAAAAGTTGAACTATTTTTGTTCACTAAAGCAATATTAATTATTCCTTTTGAACTTCATAATAAAGATTGCATTTAATTTTTTTTTTTTTTTTTTGTTCTCTGCAGGTTTATTTCCATCACTATTGCACCAGAAAGCACTGAAAGAATAAATGTAATAGAATGACTACTCTCATCTATTACAAGTTTTTTTAAAAGCAGTAGTATCTCAATCAATTTATTAGTCATCGTAAAAAAGAATTTTTAGTGAACTATGACACCAATGATTCAACAGTTTACTGCTGCTTCCTTTTGGTTTTTTCTCTAACTGCTTTTGTAATGAGAGTACACAGATAATACATTTTATATAAATAGCATGTGTATCCTCCCAAGAAAACAGCATTCAGCCTTTGTAGCATGCTTTGTGGTTCATACGTTCACATTCTGGGAAAATACAAGATGGGGGCTTTTGAGTTTAATGTATGAAAATTAACTGTTATCATTTCTTAATAGCCATTTTGATAGTTATTTAGGAATCTAGGCATTATGTTTAGTAAACAAGTCACTTCGACATTCTTAGTTTGTTGGCTACAACAACTTGTTCCAAGCTCAAGAACTATCCGGAAAGGATGTAAGAAAGCAGCAAGATTTCTTGTGGCCAACCTCAAGAGGTTGAACCACCTACGTTGCCCTTGTGCTACTTATTTATACTACTTCCTTCTCTCAGGACCTTAATAAACTCCTCTTTTAATATTCAGCAGTGCTAGTTATGTGATATAGAATTAAACTAAATTCCTACCTATTTTGAGGAAGCCAATTAAAATAATCAATGGAACTAAAGAATTTCCATTTAAATGTTGATTTCACCTTGATAAGTAGCAACATTTAAAATGCATGTTTTGTCTAGATGACTAGCTGGTTTTAGTTGACTAGCTGGTTTTAGATTAAATAAATAATCCCTTTTTAGACAATGTGTTCTGAATGTTATTTAAAATATTAGTTGCCAAGCTACATAATTTGTACTTCTGTATTTACTAACCGGTTTTTCCTAGGTACAGAGGAACAATTGTGACTCTATGAAGTAAACATCCTAAATACAAATGCTGTATCTATTGTTGTCACTATTCTTGATTTAAATAAAAATGAAACAAAACACTCTCTCACTAGCAGTGCAAAGATTATCTGGAAAGAAGGGATGTATTTGTGTTCTACCATCAAAAAAACCTCTAAGATCATTTAAAATTGAAAAAGTTGTTAACTCTTACTCCAGATAATGCCTCAGCTAATATTTTAAAGCTCCTTATTATACTTGTAAAATCAAACAAACCTAGTAAATTAAGAGGTAGGGTTTCCCTCTTTGCAACTTTTAAGTACTTACTCTGTTTTAATTGACACACCAACCAAACTATGCCACGTATTCAATTTTAACTTTGCAGCTCTTGGGTTAGTGTATTTTTGACAGTTGGCATCTTGAGTTGAATGGTGGTAGTGGTGTTTTTCAGGTTTTTTCATATTTTTAAAGAAAGCTTATGGAATGATGTTATGGAAAGTTTTTGTAGGAATTTATTTCAAATGTTAGCAGTCAATGTTAGGGTAAAAGGGCAGTTTTGTGATTACTGTTTTTGAGGTCTGGTATGAAGAACAATGTGAGCTGTAGAAACTTGTGGAAATTATGTAGACATTTCTGTAAAACGTTAGCTATCAAAGTTGTTGGTGTAAAGGTAGCGTCTTGTGATAACTCTTTTTGAGGCCTAGCCTCAAAGAGTGCTGTGAATTGTTGAAAATTATAGATGTTTCTGTATGTGTACATTATTAGATGTAGCAAAGAGGGCAAGTTGAGGTTGCTTGCATGGTGCTGTTTGGATGGTGTGAACATTAACACAAAATGGGTGCTTGAAAATAGCAACATTAAAATTTTAAGATCAACTGGGATCTAGGTTACCTCAGCTCTTAAATCACAATTTTGTGATAAGAATGTGAAACGATTTAACAAAGCTTGATTATTGCTATTTGTTGAACTCTGTGATTTAGCTTCAGCTGTCGTAATGATATAGCTTTATTTCACTTTCTGTAACTCATTATCCATTATTGTAATTTACTTAATGAAGTTTATTCTATGTTTCAGTAAAGTTGCTATTATTCCGTTTAATGTGTGATTTTAATTGCATACTTTCATGAGTTTTGGAATTAACTGACCTGAAATGTAGCAAGTTTCATTTTTTTCTTGCTTTCTGAGATCACTTTTTTTTTCTGGGTGGGGAGGGCAGACTGCAGTAGAACCTTGAAATGAGGAGGCAGAGCTTACCACTGCACTGACATAATATTTTCCTTGAGCTTGAGAGTTACACGAGTGGGACTTTATTTGTTCCTTGTAGATCCACAGGCCTTCAGTTGCATGTAGATTTTCTACTCCAGCAAACACAAATTCCTGCATACTTGTTACATGAGGTTCCTATGTTTTATACAATAAGAGGGGCATATATAGGTGAGCCCCCTTTCCCCCCTCCAATTTTCTGAAGCATTCCAACACAGGAAAACACAAAAGTGATCAAGTAAATTAAACATGGGGGCTAATACTACAATAATTTCATTTAATGCTCATAAATTAATTCGTCTTATGATATATACAAAAACCTAAATAGTATTGAAAATGTAATAAGTGAGAAACTGCATTTGGGTGACAGACTTTGAGAAAAAATGTTAAGTATTTGTACCTTGTTCTTATGCTTAATCAAAATTTCAATTCATAATTCATCAAGAAAGATAGTTTTTTGTTTCCTGACTTTTGATAAT